ATGGAAATCCGAGGTATTGATCGATTCGATCTACCAAGAAGTCACTGACAGCATGTTCCATATTCTCCGCTTCTTCATGGACTTCATCCCAAGCCAAATCGAGCGTATGAACCAAGAACAGTTCAATCAAGCGATGACGTCGTAACACTCGCAGCGCCAACTTCCGACCGCTATCGGTAAGACGCACCCCTTCGTACTTCGTATAAGACGCCAGCCCTGTCTCGCTGAGCGTCTTCATCATACTAGTCACTGTACCTGGCGAAACCTCAAGAGCCGTGGCAATCTCCCCAGTCGAAGCCGCTTTTTCCGGTGCCTGAAGAGCGATTTGATAGATCGCTTTCACATAGTTTTCAATCGTCAAACTGGGCATGGGGTCGGCTCCGGGGATTTCAAGGCACCGGAATTTTAGACGGTTCGACCACGCGCCACAATCTGACGCAGGGCATCAATTTACGTTAGTCAATGATGCCGCGATCTTGGAGCAACTGATAGATCTTATCAACGCATTCTTCCACGTTAAGTTCGTGTGTTGGAAGAACGAGGTCTGCGTTTTCTGGCACTTCGTAGTCGTAGCTGACGCCGGGGAAGTTGGCGATCTCGCCGCTATCCGCTTTGGCGTACATTCCGCCATCTTCTCGCTCCCGACAAACTTCAATCGGAGCGGATAGGTGAACCGTCAGGAAACGATCGGTTCCGACAACTTCGCTCGCCTTCTGCCGAACTTCACTGTTGGGTGCCAGGAAGGCAGCGATACAAAGCATGCCAGACTCGTTGAGCATTCGCGCGATTTCGCTTCCACGACGCAGGTTTTCGCCACGCTGTTCGGCCGTATAGCCGAGATCCTTGCTGATACCTCGACGGAGGTTTTGACCGTCCAAGACGACGCTGGTCTTTCCTTCGTCAAACAGGCGGCGCTCTAAAGCGTAAGCAATCGTGGTTTTGCCAGCCCCAGTCAAACCGGTCAAAAGGACGGTGGCCGGCTTTTGACCGAATCGAGCGGCTCGCTCATCTGAGGAAACATTTCCCTTCGAGCTTTGGAGAGTTTCGTCTCCTTCGACGTCCCACAACTCATCGGCGTCACTTGCATCGCGATCGATGATCATCCCTGCACCGACGGTACGGTTCGACATGTAGTCGATCAGGATGAACGCTCCGGTCGTTTTGTTTTTCGCATACGGATCGAAGCAAACGGCCTGATTCAATTTGATCGAGCAGCGACCGACTTCATTCAACTTCAAAGCTGGCGAATCTTCGCGGTGAAG